AGGGATAGAAGTGAGGTAATCTAGACTTGCCAAATCGTTCTAGACTTGAGCTGGATTCCTTTTAAATTTATTCTCTATGGTCTGGGAGATACACATGGGCGTCAGTATCGCATGGAAAACTGACGTGAGAATCACGCCTGGGCCAGCCTCGGTCAGTGTAATCGGATATATTGTGGAGTTCCGACTGTTTGCTGATGAAACAAGGGCTCGCGAACAAGGGCACAAAGTAGAGATTAAAACATTACCACCTCACACAAGTCTGTTCGTATCAGATATGATATTGTGATTTGAAATCTCGTTTTGAAAAATTGAGAGTTATTGTATACTCTGTATTCTTTCGTCATGGTAGAATACATATTTTCTGTGTTGCTTTTTAAATTATCCACAAATAATAAGAACTACAATGTTAACATCTATCTGGAGATATATAATTATAATACTAAAGCCCATATCTGATAAATTGGACTAATCGACTAATATTTCTTTCTTAAAAACTGCCCGTTGAAGTCATTCTAATTCTTATAGTATATGCTATGTATAGTTTAAAAGTTGAGAAATATTGCATTTCAATTGTGTATCTTTCCACATGTTGAATTCATTATGATTTCTGCAATAAAAGCTTAACAGCTGAGAGTGATATAAACGGATATGATCCATATTGTGATAAGTGAATTATTAATTTCTTATTATGAATTAGGGGGCACGGATGGCCCTGTCGGCTAAGGCGCCGCGATTCGCTCTGCAGAGTTGCGTCCCTTGGGAACGCCAGAAACCTATGATTGTGGGTTCGAATCCCGGTTCGCCCCAATTATGTTTCTAGGTTTGTCAGCACCATTACCCGTGCTCGTGGGTTTCACCGAAGTGGTAAACGTCAGATACCTGCATCACTTCGGGCTTTCCTCCCACATTAAGCTGACACGCCGCGATATGACTGTAATACTGTTAAAAGCGGCGTTAAACCCAACTCACTCACTATTATGAATGAAATAAACTGAAATACAAAAAGATAGTACAAACAAATCATTTTAATCTGTTCTTGTGAGCAGGTAACCAGTGATCGAGGCAACTCACTGACGTTACCATTTGTGAAAAATCAAATATTCAAAGTTTAGGTGTTTGAACAAGTGCATTGTATGACGAGAAATCAACACAATGATTAAATTATTAATCCAATTATTTTATAAATAAACCTAAATATATAGAAAATAAAAGTTTGATTTCTCATTGTTGGAAGGTGTTTAATAATAGTGTTTGTTTGATTGTTTGTTGTTAAACGCCGCATGCAGCGATATACCAGCTATATGACGCCGGTTTGTAAATAATCGAGTCTGGACCAGACAATCCAGTGATTGATATCATGAGCATCGATCAACGCAATTGCGATACGATGACATGCATAAACCAAGTCAGCGAGCCTGACCACCCGATCCCTTTAGTCACCTCTTACGACAAGCATTAGTCTGGCATACAGATCATGAAACAAATATATCCAATACAGCCCATGCAAGTCTATAATGTTTGGCAAGTCTAGATTACTGCAGCATCAGGTAAATGAAAATTTCTGGGCTCCTTTTTATTATATTTTAAAACTATAATTTACCAACTGTTAGTCTAGACAGGCATATTCGCCTCTAACGGCAAGCATGGGTTGCTGAAGACATATTTTAGGATTTAATTGATATATTAAAATGAAATAAAACTGAATTATATTTGCTGTTTACATATCAAAGTTTGCCAACTTGTTATAAAATGTTTGGCCGTAGCAAGGCTACGTATTCACAACATATTGTGCTAGGCACAGAAAAGCTGGACTGAGCGAGGGCCAGGCGACCCTTTCCCTTGCTAATCAGCAACCATATTAGCAACGCTTGGTAATTTGGGACGGAAAACTGCAGGGGGTGAGGGCAGTTAAGTTGATGGTGCAGACAGATAAGAGAGATTATTTTACAACTGTGAAACCTCATTCCACAAAGGAAGAGGCGAAAGAACAGAGTCAATAAGCTTCGCTCAGTCACACCAGAGTAAGTCAGACCATGATTGAGAACTGCCTAATCATGATGTATGGCAGACCAGTCGAGTAGTGCTACATGTATATGTGAAAGGAAAGTTATTAAAATGAAGAGCAAAACTGTTGGAAGTTACCAAGAAAGCGTATAAGTGTCATTTCGTCACTGCAAAAGTAATGACGAGTGTTTGTCTTCAGTATTAACATTCAAATACGTGGTATATGTATCAGCGATATAGTCTACGTTGCACCGGTGAGTAAGCGTAAGTCTTACTATCTCGTAGTACATACAATGTATATTTGCAAGAAAGTGCTTTTCTGAAGACATCACGATACAGTTTTTACGATGCATAATGTTTGCACTAGCGCTTGATAACAGCCTTGTGTTTGTGTTTTAGTAGTTTAAATTGCTGCTCTTGATATTGTTGATTAAACTTTGATATTATGAACAATATAAGGTAATATGAGAGGATGAATTTAGAACAGGCCTGTAATCTAACACGCGCGAACTGATCACTGAAATCTGAGAAGTAGAAATAACGGTAGACGCTGTTGCTTGATTGACAGTGTCAGTCAAAAAAGGGAGGAACTTGATGACATAGTTCTCTCCCAGTAAATTCCGATGTCAAATAACGACGTTATTTGGATGGAAATACGATGGTTCGAAAGCGTCCAAAAAAAGTCGTTTTTTCCGTCCAATGACCATATACGGGAAAAAACGACCGTGTTTGCAGTGAAAAGGGGAATAAAGTTCAATGCAACAGTGTAGCTGCATGTGTGTTAATACTTATAAAGTGAAAACCATTCCCCCGGAATAAAAAAATGATGCAAATAGCTTCGAGAATTATGAATTACATAGTTAGGAAAACGCGACGTAAATGTTTCACACCATACCCTCATGTGTTGCCGTAGCTGGGGCCGACAATCACGTCGACAAATTAAACGACGCGGGTTCGAACTCCACTGGCGATACATGTTATCCGACAAAACTTGAAAGCATTCACTTGTCGAAATATTTTAAAAAATAGTTCCGTCACTTCCAAGTGCAAAGTAATTCAAATGTTGGTTCAATATAATGTATAGTTGACAAACAGCTCTCCATTCCTGAAAAATAACTGAGCGTTTAAACAATACATTGGCGTCACATATGTGTTTTAATGGATTCAACTATGGTAAGCATGCATAGGTGTACAGTGCAGATGTGAATAGGAATAACATAGCTGAAGCAAAGATGGGCCCAAGTGGCCCAGTGGTGGAAAGGTTATCGAAACGGTGGGACATCCATCTGACATGTTAGCAGCTGTTAACTACGGTTATAGCGAACTCAAAGGGACCACAAATTGTAGTTCGTTATAACCGTAATTCATTATTTGCATATATACAGCACAGATACAGCAAATGGCAGGGACCTAAAAACCAGTTCGTTATAAGCGTGTTCGTTTTAACCGTAGTTTACTGTATATGTAATCGGGTCCTGCCGAGCTAGAGAAAGTTTAATCCTGCTCGGGTTGTGTAAATATGTTGGACAATTTACCTGCAGGCAGGTATTGAACCTACGAGTTTTTTTAAACAGGTCATGTATTCAACACTGCATCCGCAGTAAACATTCGTTCCCTTCTTTGTGACATCACATTTTCTTCCTTATTCAACACCTGCCTGCAGTGGGACCGCAAGGGGCAGAGATGTTTGTTTAATCTTGCCATGAATACGTTTTATTGACATAAGTGAATACTGCTTGAGGATATAATAGCTTACTTTGTGTTGTTTAAATTTATTTAGGGACCTTGGTAGTCTCTGGAGAACAATATGATTATAACGTACCTGCTCATTAGACCCGTGATGATCCGGGATAGAATAAGTCTTCAGGAACCCATGCTTGCCGTAAAAGGCGACTATGCTTGTCGTAAACGCGACTAACGGGATAGGGGGGTCAGTCTCGCTCACTTGGTTGATGCATGTCATCGATCCCAATTACGTGGGTCGATGCTCGTGATGTCAATCACTGGATTGTCTGGTCCAGACTCGATTATTTACAGACCGCCGTCATATAGCTTGAATATTGCTGAGTGCGGTAAACAACAAACAAACAAACAAACAAACACACATGCTAATTACGTTCTGAACTGAATATTAAAATATATTGATAGACAAAGTATCATCACCAAAGCACACACTGCGTTGCAAGTGATTTCGCAGCTCATGCTTTTTGGCAGATGTAAATAGGAGATATCAGTGAAACCGCCTCATCAGTTGCGAATTTTAAGATATGCAACCAGATTCAAAGTGACAATATAACTATCCACAAGGACTAGGCTGTATGACCACAGGCCACGACATCTTTTCAACGGGCAATGTTCCAAATGAGCAATATTTCAACAGCTTTGGGACAATCGAGGGACTAAATCCGTCAACACCCTGTCTAAATCAACATAAACCGAACTAGCTTTAGGAATAACCGAAATGTGTCGAGTTAGTGTGTGTGGGGGTGGGGGGGGGGGGGGGAAGGAGCGGGTATATTTGATAGTAATAAATGGCACATGGTTTCGTTCACTTAACCAAGTGAGACACTTAAGTGCAAGGCGAAACAGGGATATGTTTTGTTTTCTAAAACTGAAGCAAATATATTTTTAGTTTCATGTTCTGGATAACAATAATTTCATTCCCCCAAATTCATTCTGTCATAAATCAAGTCGATTGATTGATTATTATTAGAAATTTCATTGCAGCATGGAGATTTTATGTCCAATCGATTCAACTCTTCCACGGCTTTGTCAGTCGACGATAGCAAATGGGACACCGGTTGTATCGTCAGGTCATGGAAACCTAAGGAGATAATTCCCTTGCCCTTAGTTCGTCATAGTCTCAAAATATAGCACAACGTTTCTATAAATATTGACATATGAACAAAAGGCTTCGACATGTTCATTGTCAGGTGTTGTTTTCGATTAAGTTAAACTTGTACAATAGTTGAAATTCGAAGTTTAACAGAACTCACCCATTGCGACAGAAAGCTAAGATCCAGCAGAGAACATGCACACCTTGTCACTGCAGAGCGTGGACGCTCACTGACGTATTGTGAGCATCTGCTGTAATTTGCATTGATCTATGGGAACGTGTTAGGGTCATAAACTTGATCTGTGCAATATAATATTTGCGGTTTGTAGGGCGAAGTGAAGTGAGATGAAATGGGGTTTATCGCGATCAAGATTATCGCCTTACATATGCCTTCACTGTTTGTAAACATGTATGTTAATGAAACGACAAAACCCTTTCCATATCCAATAGAAATATCTGCATAAAGCAGAGTCGATTGTGCAATTCCGACTATATCATGAACATGTGTTTATGAATCACTATCACTTAGTAATGATATCCTGCCCCATCGGTGGCACCCGTCACAAACACATGCAAAGGCAAATCAATTGTTCACCTGAAAAAGGCATGGAAACTTCTGGTACAAGTCACAAGTAATACTTCCCATTGTATCACATCATACTTCTTGTTTTGTCGGGGCGGGGACGTAGCCTAGTGGGTAAAGTGTTCGTTCGTCACGCTGACACCCCGGGTTCGATGCCTCACATGGATACAATGTGTGACGCCCATTTCTGGTGTCCCCTCATATTGCTGGAATATTGCTAAAAGCGGTGTGCCTGGAGGGCCAAGTCTTGGAAAGGTATATCCATGTTACAATAAAACAAATCAATAGTTGGCATCGATGTGGCTCTCGGCAACATCTTTTATCATGCATACACACTTATTCAAACAGGCTGCAAATGTCGTCACCATCGACTTCGTATCATGCTCCTCCGACTAAAAGGTTTTCATACGCCTTTGTTTACGTAACGAAATAACGACTGATTGTGTGTGTGTTGTCATATGGTCTTCACAGCTGTTGTTGCAAAAAGACACTTGCATGTTTAATCAATGGTTGTACACATTCCTGACATCTCTATATTTTCCTGTTATTTTCATTGTTGCATATAATTCTACCTAGGGCCTTCATAAGTGGTATAAGTGATATGAAGCCTTTTACATTTGTTTTTGAAATAGTCGCAACTGATATATCGAAGGTCAAATTAACTTTCAATGTCTTTCAGTAAAACATATTCACAGTAACTGAGGAAGAGCTCTCTGTAGTGCGATGATATCTGGTAATGTCACCCTCAGAGTGGGGCATATTGTGTTACAAACCTCAATGAAGCTGGTATGTCTAGATATAACAAGTACTTGTACCGTTACAGATAATCTTCTTCTCATCTCACCAGGACCAAAGGCCCAAGTGAGCACATTGTCGATGACTTTATACTTTCACTCAGAACAAACTGGAAGTCTGAACATGAAATTTATGGATATCATCATACATGTATTAGAACTGATGTATGTTCATTAAACAGCTTAACATCTAAAAGGAATTATAGATGAAATTGAAAAATTGTCTTCTCCAAAAGTACATGCTCAACTTTAAGGGGATGTTTACAACTAAAACAACACAGACTATTACTTCAGCTATCTGATAGGCCCAGGCTAACATTATTTAATAGAAAAAAGACATCTCGAAAAATTGCACCCGCACACCTGCCGGATACCTCCTGGATACCTTCAGCAATGTTCAATCTCTTGGTTAGTTTCAAATATATTTTTTAGGTGTTTCACACTTAATTGAACAAAATGCATCCCCCAAATTGTGACATTTTTGGGGGAAACTTTTTTGAGGTATCCGGTGGGGTATCCGGTGCCGGTTACTTGGACACCCAGATTGAGGTATCCGGTGAGGTATCCGGTGCCGGATACCCGGATTCCAGGAGGCATACTTTCCCGTGAGGTGTCCAATGCCGGATACCACTGATTCTTGCAAGGTATCTGCCACCGGATACCAGGATGCATTTTGGGGAAGTGTCCTGAGGTATCAGGAACGGATCCGAATACCGGAAACTGCATTTTTTTGCTGTGCACTGACAATTAGCTGTACACAATCAGAGGTGTGTCATCATAATCACAGCGAATCAGCAGGGACGATTCAACCTTCTCGAACTTGCTTTATGTTAATCTTACATGTAAATTGGACACATTTTGTCTGCAAAACAAGCATTGAACATAAATCTCACGAGATTGTGTCAAAGTGTCAGTTCACTAGCACATCATTTCACGGCGGGCACTATTAAGTGGAAATTTATCAATAATACGACAATGATTTTTCTTTTTCCGACTGTACCATAAAAATGTGTGTATGAATTGACATAGAGCGGAGAGTTACCGTTCGTGGATAGTAGCACGCAGTGTTTCAGCTTGAGGTGAATTTATTGCCAAGTATACTTCTATATAAGATATTGAATATGTCAGAAGCAATTGTCATCAGCATATATGCCTTGTGTTGTTGTTGTTGGTGCTTTAAGTGTTTAAGAGGTCGTCTTCTGCCGAAACTATTTCGGCTGACCTGACCTGGGACTCATGTGTGTGAGTAGGGTACACATATCTGTTGCGAGTTTGGTATTCACAGAATTTCTGTTTTTGTATTAAAACGATTTCCATGTGAGACATGATACAACACAGCTGTTGCCATTGGTTCGATAGTTTTGTATATTCGTATATAATATTACTCACTGTGTTTGGCCTCGAGCTTGAGTTTCTGCCGCTGATGGCTTGAAGTGCACTTAGCGAGTCTGATAGGAAGACTTCTTCCGGTAGTTCCAGTATGAGTTTGTGTGCATGATTAATTGCCTCCACTTCAGCAGTGAATACTGACCATCGGGCAGGCGATCCGAATGTGCTTGGGGTTGGAGCTGTGGATATGGATCCCGTAACCAACACTGTTGTTGATAGGATTCTTTGATCCACCAGTGTGATTTAAACAATATTTATTTCCAAGAAAAAAGGAATGGGATTGGTGAACAGGTTTACACCTCTCCCTTCAAAGAACATTTAACAATTAATAAAAGTAAACTGTACATAAAATATAAATTAAGATTAATTGTGCCTACTGTCAAATATTATGATGATATTCAAGTCACACACAAATACAGGCATACGTATATCGGTACATAAACAAACAGCATTCACACATTCAAACAACTATTTGATCGATGTAACCATTATAAAAAACATATTTAGATTTTAAATCTTTTTGATTTTGCAATGAACAAATGGACAGATTTTACAATAGCAAGGTTAGTATCAGTAAATCCAATCCAAGTCATGTACAGTAAACTACGGTTATAACGAACTCAAAGGGACAACTAATTTTAGTTCGTAATAACAGTTGGTCGTTATACGCATATATACAGCATTTATACAACAAATGGTCGGGACTAAAAATTAGGTTCGTTATATCGGTCAGTTCGTTATAAGCGTGTTCGTTATAAACGTACTTTATTGTATATCCCTTTATATAGTAGTACATCTTGTTCCGAAGATTACAGTAGTTGCATGAAAAGAAGTAATGTGTAGGATCCTCATAATGATATCCACAAGAGCAGGTAGTAGATTCATGAATATGTCTATGATATTTGTGTACATTTAAATCACTGCATCCTCATCTGAGGCGGTAATGGATAATTTGACAGAAACAGGTACCATAGTCGAAGTTAAAGCTAAATATTTTAGGATTTTCTTTCGTGGTGATACATTTAGTGAAGTCATTAACAGTATATTTTGACTGAACATTATTCGGTAATTCTTTCCACATTCGCACTGTGTCGGGTAAAAATGATTTGTTCTAGCAGTGACAGTCTGTATCTGTGACGAAGTTCTTAAATTGTAACGTGAGCCCGATGAGACATTAGGGGGAACAAGATTTCATGGATATTTAGGGGCCAACTTGTTAACCATTTTGTAAAATAATTTAATTTTTGGATAAGGGTTTAAGGTTAGTTTCAGGGTATAGGGTACCACGAGTAGCTCCACATATTGTTTTCAGTGCGTCTCAATGTAGCCTTTCCAATACCAACGCTTGTTCTTGAGAACAGTTATCCAATACCTGGTCACAATAGTCGAATATTGGCAAAATAAATGATAAATATATATTCTGGAACGCTTTTCTGGACAGGCGGTATTTGAAAGTTCTAAAGCGGTTAATCATTGGGCTTACTTTTTCTACTATATTATCTATATGATTTGACCAGTAGCCATCTTGCTGTATAATTAGCCCTAGGTGTTTGTGCGATGAGACCTCTGTTATTAGAGTAACTTTCATTACAAGAACAGGTTTTTTTTCTTGAAAACATTATGGTTTCGGTTTTGTGTGGATTAAACGTTACTTGCCATTTATTTGCCCATACGGATATCCTTTCTAGATCAACATGTAAATTAATCGCTGCTGTGTTATATTAGGGTCATCGACAATAATATAAAGTGACGTATCGTCTGCAAAGAGACGTATATTACTGTCTATATCATCATCCAGGTCATTTATAAAGATCAAATATAATAATGGTCCTAGGACCGATCCCTGTGGAATACCTGCCGTGATAGATTTTTACTGTGGTTCTTTACCATTAATAACCACTTTTTGTATTCTATTTGATAGATAACGGTCAAACCATTTCAAATTTCTTCGAATTCCACATGAAGATAATTTATAAAGTAATCCTTTATTCCAGACTTTATCAAAGGCCTTGCTAATATCACAAAACACTGCCCTTACTTCTTTTCCATTGTCCAGTGCCTTTGAAATAAAATCAGATAAAATACAGATGTAATAATTGGCTGGTCGTGGAATCGCCTGGTATAAAGCCTGACTGGAGATTGCTCAGAATACTGTTGTCTTTGAGGAAGTTGAACACATGTCTATGGATACATTTTTTTCTAAATACTTTTGCCAAACAACTTGTAAGTGCGATTGGTCTATAATTACTGCATTCATTTACATTTCCTTTCTTGGGAATTGGTAATAAAGATGCCAGTTTCCATTTTGATGGAAAAACAGAATATTTAAGTGACATGTTAAAGATTAATGATAATGGGAAGGATATGCTTTTAGCAGAAACTTTGATAAGTTTGTTTTTTTATACCGTCAGGTCCGGATGCTTTGGTGGTATCAACAGAAAGTAAAACATCATGAATTT